TATAAACCCAGGGCACCAATATAAATATATATAGATATATATATAAAGATATACCTGTCTTCATTAGGGCTGTTTGTAGGCTAGCTTTAAGAATCCTACATATATGTAATGGTATAGATGTCAAATTTCAGGTGTAAACATTTCACAATTTTTTGTCTGAAACGTAATTATTCGCCAGGGGTTAGCTTTACTTCACAGATTACAAAATAATTGTATTTCGAAACAAAAGTTCTGTGCTTCAATTATTCTAATTCTTTACATTAAAATGAGTTGAAGTAGTATAAAATGTCTTTTTGTTTTGGTTTTTATCATTATTATGTAAAACCACCAACTCATATATGGATCCTTTTGACGATACTAGTTTATTTTGATCCGAGGTAGCGTCAATTCATATGTCAGGATGACTTGTGGAACGCAGATTATTTGTTACAATGTATGTAAATATTTTCTTGTGGTGTTTCATTTCCCGAATTTTGATGCATCGTTAATTAAGAAAAAATTTTAAAAACCCTCATAAATAGTAACAAGAGAAGCAATTTTTTCATTTGTACATATATACCATGAAGAATTCAGATTGCAAAACATATGTAACTCTCATTATATATCATTCTGATCTAGGGAAACTTTAAACACATGCTGAAGAATTTCACCTCATGCATGTGTACAAAATACAAGAAGATCATGGCCCTTAACTCATCTGCTGATGGTGATCAAATTCAAATTTTGAACATTCCTTGAAAGTATCAGAAACTCATAAATGGTAGTCTCTGTTCATGAAAGACTTTTGTGTAATCATGTTACAATACAGCTACAGTGGTTGAAGTTCTGATCAGGCTGAAAAAACAATTCATTTCTTTCTTTCCCTTAACAAAACAAACTCCAAATATTTTTCTCTCTAGTGTGATGAAACTGGAGAAGTTCAAGCTGACACACTCTCAGCTTTCAAACAATCTCAATGAAAATTATGTAGCACTGTTGTCCTTTGTCGCATTGTGACTTTATATCTAAGTTTCCAAATTTGTATTCATTAAAACCTCATAAATGCAACTTTTGCTAAAAAAAGTGAAGAGAAATATTTTCCATATACGCAACTTTTGCTAAATACACGAAGAGAAACACAGGTGTTGTGTGACAGATATTTGCTTTAATTTGCTCTCTTTAGTTACTATTTATAGTTTAATTAATTCATTTCAACATAAAGTTATCATTGTAGAGATTTCATGTAGTTTAAATTCTAAACACAAAGATTTTTAGAATAACTTCATGACACATATGTCGTATGATAGATATTCAATTTGATTTGCTTTCACAAATTGCTGGTACTTATTTGAATTATAAAATTCATCGTCATACTGATTTTAAACAGTTTGAAATATTCTGAAGGAGTTCGCTGACAAACTGTATACAACCAAGCACAGTACTAATTACTCTAATAAACACCCCTGATAATATCATTTCTATTTTTCAAATCATGAAAGTATATATTTAAGAAATAAATTCTTTTTTGTGATTTCTTGGTTTTGAACTGCATCTGTTATTACAGATATAATAATTCAAATGACAAGTGTCTGTGCACGTGTCTAATTAAGCCTAAAGGTACATGGCTAAATAAGGAAGTATACGTTTGCTGTACATATTTAGAAAATATAAAAAAAAAACCTACACCCCAATCATTTCTTTATTTATATCAACCAAGATAAAACAAGACATCTGTGTGATAGAACCGCACGACATGGGCGCAAATGTGCGATAGCTTTTTTTGTCCAATTTCCCTATCGTACGAACATCACGTAACATTGTGTGATCCCATAACTGTTGTTTGCATATGAAATTTTCTGCATTCTGGTAATTCAACAAGTTGTGATAGTTAGGAGAGAGATCCCCTTTTCTCAAGTTTATCAATGTTATAATTGTTGTACAAATATTGTTATCTTTAGTCTCTGCTGTAAGTCTAAATCACAAAATGTAGCTCTGCAGAGCAGCAAAATAAAACTAACATTTTTCCTATTAATGTCATAAATTTAAAGTATAAAAAGTTGTGTCCATATTTTTCTTCACTTTCCAATGACATGTTCACTTTTTGGATGTTTTTTTTCTCTCTTTCTCTCTTTGGTTTGTTTGTTTATAAGATTTAAAGAAGATAAATATCTATATTTTGATTTATAAAAAGCTTAAAGATCTAAGTCATAATTTTTTTTCTTTTCCTGATAGGGAAGACAAAGATAAAAAAAATTTTAAGAAGAAAAAAAAATGTTTTAGAATTAAGATACATTTTTGCTTTTAACAAGATACCAGATACTGTAGGTGTATGTAAACTAAGAGTGCCAAATTGCAGTTCCCAGCTTCAGCGATGATGTGAGACAGCACATTTGGTACTGTTCAGTGTCATATCTGGTGGTAAGACAAATATTCGTATCTTGACAATCATCAATATTTAGAAAAGTGACAGATTAACCACTTAAACTATTGGAAGACTGGTTACAATAATAAATAAACTGACATAAATAATTTTCTCATGGGGAGCCTGTATTTACTTCAGATTATGGTAAAAAATTGTTTATTGATGAGCAGGTCAATACTAATTGTGAACATTGATTTCAAAAATTCAAAGTGACTGTCCAAGGTACAACAGCTGTCTACATTTTAAGAAAATTTTGCACCAAATTACAAATGTGTGTAATTTTCAATTTTTTTTTTTAAAAGCCAACTTTTGTACACTGTTGCAAATGAAATATTGATATTCAACCCTGCAGTCACAGTACAATGTAAGTACAATACAGTCTATGCTGCACTGACACTCTCTCATCCACATGAAGATTATAGGGTTACGTTTAACCCAGCCAAGGAAAGACACTTCCTTGTACAACATCATGTTTATGTAACCAAGGATGAAAACATATACACACACAACATGGTAAATTGTGCAAGAAAAACTCAAGACATTCTTTCATATCAAATTCATCCCAATCTGACTACCTGAGTTGTGAGCTACATTAGGCATTCAACTCATTCGAGAAAGGGACGTTTTACCTTATTTTGGATAGAAAATTGACAAATTAATTGAGAAAGTCATTTTAAGGAGTAAACTGTATATATCGGGAATTGGGTCATTATGAAATAAATGAAATTCAAAATGGGACCCTGTCACTCATATTTAGCCCCACGCAGCCCTGGAAAAAGCCCTGCTTTAGAGTCGTGCTGTATATATCATGAGTTAAACTTTGATAATTTTGTTTCAAATTGTAAGGAATACATTCCTGATCTGCGTGTTTATTAATTAATTGCTTTATTTGATTACCATGATTAATTGGTTATTAGGTCAAATGATTTTCTTTGTAGCTACGGTGTGTTTTCCTATAGGCACTCCGGTTTTCTCCTAAAATAATTATATATAGCCCCCTCAAGATATTAAATACAAGTCAGAAAGTATAATAAACATAACATATTAAGTTACTTCTTAATTGTTTTGAAAATATACTGGTGTAGATTAAGTACAATTATAGTCATGGATGATAGTTTGTGAAATTTTACAAGTCTAAAATTTAAATTAAAAGTTTTTTTTGTTGTAAATGGATATGTTGTTAGTCCCATTTAGAGAGACAATTAATATCCTGTCACTATTATTGCTGGCAAACTTTTTATTTTGTAAACAACAGGAAACTTTTTTTGGTTATAAATGATAATCAATTTCTGTTTAAACAGCTTCAGTTTGTAAAATTAAAGTTTATTATAGTTGTTTTCAGTTTCCAGTTTCAAAAGCAATGAAAATGTCAAGATAATTGAATGAAATGAAAATTATAGAACGAACACTCCTTACAAACAATTAACACAGGTGCAAAGATCAATATGATATATCGTATTTGTAAATCATATTGTTTTATAATTTATACAGATGCTTTCAGTTATAAAACACAGGGAATAAATTTTGAATCTTGGCAAAATCCATAAACTTGTCTCTCTCAGGAATTCTTAAACAGTGTTCGTGCATTTGTCATTTTCAAAGCCGACAATTACCAATACTAGTTGTTGCATGCCATTATAATTTAAGCAAAGTGAGCAGTATACACAAGCTTCTTATTCGCAAAGTGGTCAAGTATGACCTCTGACCTTTACTCTTGACCAATGTCCACCAAAATTTAATCAGGTGTAGACCCTGGTGCTACGGTGTGAATATGAACCAAATCTGTTTAGGGGTTCATGATTTTTCATTGCACACAAGTATTTCATTTGCGAAATGGTCAAGGCTGACTGTTTGATCTAACCTTGTCAAATGACCACCCATTCTTATCAGGTAGACCTTGGTGGTATGATGCTATAAACCAAACCTGTTCAGGGGTTCACGAGATAACTTGTACACAATGTTATCATAGATGTACAGACGCATGCACATTTACTCATGAATGCACCAACAGAGTGATTGCTTTAGTCCAACTCCCTTACCTAAGTGAGGGTAAAATTATGATAATTTGTATCAAGTTGTGTCTGTGAGTGAAGTTTTAAAGGAATTAGTACATTTGATTCGGTGAATATATTTCAAAATAATCAAAGTGCAGTCCGCTGACAAATTTCGAGAAACCAAAGTTCAAGAACAGTTCTATTGGTAACCACTTGTCTTAAAATCATTTTTAAATTTTTTGAATTTTAGCTTCTGATCAATCTAATTACTGGCTTGCAATGGGCCTCTGCTTTCCCTTATTCCACTAAATCCCCCTTCTTCACTCCTTAAAGAAAAAGTATTATGCCAGTCCCTAATTCAAAGGTCAAAAATGGTTCAAGTTATGATATTATGGTAACAATATCAGATCACGTGATATAGATATGTATAAATAATATTTGAAACAGGTCAGAAAATCAACAAAAACACACATGAAATTATAAAAAAAACAAGATTAACACTTTGAAAATTATCACCTAACATTAAATATAGGAAAGCCTGACACAGTATCTGGAGCACTAGCTGGATGTTTTTTTGATTTGATACGGTATCAATTATCTAGTACCTTGGTCGTTTTGACGGGTCTTCTTTAATGTTATCCAATGGTGCCAGGTTTATAATTCCGTGTCCAGGTATTGACGCTGAACAAGAATTCAGCAGATTTACTGACAGTTCTTTCGGTTGCGTTACAAGAGCACACACACCAGAGATTACAGTTAAAACGAACAATTGTAAGCTGACCCAGTTCTCCATCATAGAAGAGGTCTTGCTGACCCAGTTGGCCACCACTGCTAACAGCTGATCGCTGCACCTTTCGCCGCCGAGTGATCAATTGTTCACAATGCTACCTTGCTGTGAGATGCAACTTCAAGTAATCATGGAGACACACCTACATGTCATTTTAGTTGGGTCTGTTTGCTCGTAAGCAGAATTGTCATTCTTCGTCTTCATGCCCAACAACAGCGTGTAAACTAATAACCGAGTGGTCTGCGCTCCGTCCGGATTCACTTGTGAGCTGTAGGCCTACAGCTGTTAAACGGAAAACGTCGCCCGCTTGTTTAATGTACTTCACGCATTTGAACTTTTTCACTTAATTGTCATCAAGTCAATGGACATAACATCGTAATTTGATTTTATTGTCTAAAGATATTTCGTTTGAAGTCCGTCTTAACTGAGCATCGATTGTCAATTTCACGCGGTCTCTGATTGATCGAACAATTATTGTTCCTGCAGTTTGGATTAAAGTCAAACTGTACAATTTTCATTATCCACTTTTTGATTTACACATTGTGATGAAACTTATTTTTCAGCTGACAGTCAGAAATGCTACACGGTATACTTTTTCACATTTATAGAGGATTTGAATTTGTCCAATCATATTTTTGAAAGAGTGTTCTGAAGCTCGTTAGTGAGTTGCGATGATGCTGTATCAAGTTAGATGTCCCAGCTGAATTACAACTCTGACTGTTATCTATATATGTGAGTATATATATTTACTGCTGATTTACACAATGACGTCATTTATTTACCATTTATGATGATACTTTATGGCCCTAACCATACAGTATTGTATCATCCAAAGAATGTCTGACACAATGTTGTGACGTCATTGGTACGTCACGGAGATCAACCGAAAATTACAATATGAACAAGAGAAGAAAGATCTCGCTCTTTGAGGCTTATCCGTTTAACTTTAATCATTGCATCTCGTTTGTGTTAACATAGAACACAGTTATTTTTCACGAAAAATCAGTTCTAAAAACTTTTTCTCGAACAAAAGGCTTAATTAAATCCTTCACTGTGTAATTTACAATTGTTTCCTTTTGAAATGTCTACGTCGGCTCTACCTCCGTGTGTTCAACCAAATCAACGTCAACGTTATTTATCACAAATAACAAAGGTAACAACACCCACAAGTATAATATGTATGAGTTTAATTGTTGAATATTGAATAAAAATATTGTTTAACCTATCTAAATCACGGTAACAATGTGACCGGAAGTGTAATTTTGGTCTGTTTAATTTCACTTTTGTGCATGTATTTTTACCGTATCCCCCGACAGAGAAACAGGTCATTCCTTCCTCATTCTACTTTGTCGACTAATGGTTTCGAATGATTCAAAGAGAAGTTAACAAATAGGGTTTAAATGATGTTGTATCAGAACAGGTTAGGATGTGGTCCGAAAATGTGGAAGGCATGCATATCTCCATCGAAAGGTGTTCTTAGATCAAGAAAACTTAGAGATGATTCGGAACATTTTCTTCGGGTTGGTAATGTCAATAGAACAGAAGTTCTTATAACACAACCAGTAGACGATTAGAGTGTGACGTTTCAATGACTACACGGTCATTTCATCTTAAAACACAACCCTTAGAAGATAAGAGTTTGACGTTTTTGTGACTACACGGTAACCTTCATCTTATAACACAACCATTAGAAGATTAGAGTGTGACGTTTCTGTGACTACATGGTCACCATCATCTTATAACACAACCAGTAGAAGATTAGAGTGTGACGTTTTAATGACTACACGGTCACCATCATCTTATGACACAACCAGTAGAAGATTTGAATGTGACGTTTCGATGACTACACGGTCACCTTCCTCTTATAACACAACCAGCAGAAGATTAGAGTGTGACGTTTCGATGACTACACGGTCACCATCATCTTATAACACAACCAGTAGAAGATTAGAGTGTGACGTTTTAATGACTACACGGTCACCATCATCTTATGACACAACCAGTAGAAGATTTGAATGTGACGTTTCGATGACTACACGGTCACCTTCCTCTTATAACACAACCAGCAGAAGATTAGAGTGTGACGTTTCGATGACTACACGGTCACCATCATCTTATAACACAACCAGTAGAAGATTAGAGTGTGACGTTTTAATGACTACACGGTCACCATCATCTTATGACACAACCAGTAGAAGATTTGAATGTGACGTTTCGATGACTACATGACCACTTTCATCTTATAACACAACCAGTAGAAGATTAGAGTGTGACGTTTCGATGACTACACGGTAACCATCATCTTATAACACAACCAGCAGAAAATTAGAGTTTGACGTTTTTGATGACTACACAGTCACCTTCATCTTATAACACAACCAGTAGAAGATTAGAGTGTGACGTTTTTGTGACTACACGGTAACCTTCATCTTATAACACAACCAGTAGAAGATTAGAGTGTGACGTTTCTGTGACTACATGGTCACCTTCATCTGACAAATTACCAGTAATCCAGAAACGTATTACTATAATTAGCGAATATGTTTTCATTAATGAAACAGAGTTTCTGCCATTGGAATATATGTGTGTGTGTGAATGTGGGATTAACACTCTTTCCGAGATTTGTGGTTTGGGCGTGTTTGGTACAACGTCATACCGATAAAATGATGCTGAATATATTAACAATTAGCAGAAAGTTAATATTGTAAGTAAATTACGGTTTGAAGTATGCAAATATGGTACCTACACCCATCTTTGTATCCCAAAAACAAAAGATTCAAAAATCCCGCCCTCCCTACGACCATGAGCCTTCACGTCATGAACATAGAGTTATTTCCCTTCCTCTTAGCCTTTATGTAGCACCCGTAGAGGGGCAGTCAGGCAGATAGGAAGAGGGGAGGAAAGGGTGGGACTCCATAAAGTTATGGTAAGTATTACCTCATGAAAATTGGTTTTACATTAAAAAACCTCAATTTCATTTCAGTAATAATTACCATAACTTTAGTATGCGAATTCGTCTTACCGTAGTGGTGACTAGCAGCCAGGCAGCCCATCTAGCACACTAAACTTGGTAGGGAGGGGGGACAGAGTGCATAGAATAAGGAAGGGCAACCTCCCCGTGACCGAGCAGGTAAACCACGTGCCGCCGAACGGAAAAGACGAGCCCCGGGGCTAACGGGGGGGGGGGGGGGGGGGGCACAGCCACAGACTGTGCAACCACCAGAGGTCCCAAAGAATACAAACCTTCTGAGTGGGAAGCCAGGGATCTCAGATAAAAATCTGTAAATGTATCCCTGCCCCGCCAGAAGGCAGCAGACATGACCTCTTGAAAGGAGGACCCATTAAGAAGGGCCCAGGATGCAGCGAGGGCCCTTACCTCATGAGCCCGCACTCTCACCCTCGCCCGAGCCTGGTCATCAGAATGCTCATAAGCATACTTAATGACCTGGCATACCCACCTAGACACCGACTGGGAGGAGATGTCTCGCTGTCCCTGTTTGATAGGCAAAAACAGACGGGATCTGGAGCCCCCCCCCCCCTGGTTTTATCGAGATAAAACCTAAGAGCCCTACAGGGACAAAGCAATCTATCCCTCTCCTCCGAGCTAGTCAAAGCCGGAATCTTGATGGGATCGGGCGAGAACCCCGGGACTTGATTCTTCGCAAGGAAGGAAGGATCAGTTAAAAGAGTAACGGCAGCGTAGCCTCTGGACCAACGAAGGCAGGAAGGAAGTGACGACAGGGCGTGCACTTCACTCCTCCTACGTCCAGAGGCCAGAGCCAAAAGGAAGACTGTCTTAAAAGTTAGAAACTTCAAAGAGGCAGACTCCATAGGCTCGTAAGGTGACCTCGTCAGGGAATCTAGCACCAAGGCTAAATTCCACTGCGGGGCCAGCTGCCGAACTCTGGGTCTATCCAAAGCGAAGCCTCTGATTAGGGCAGAAAGAGATGAGGAAGAACCTATCTCCTTCCTGCCGTAAAAAGCCAAGACACTGGCAATTGCTGTCCTATAGCCAGCAATAGTGCCAGGTGCCAGATTGCGGTCCCTAAACAGAGAGAGTAGGAAATCCGCAATCAGCTGAACAGAGGCTTCGAATGGATCAACCTCCCTGCCGACACACCAATCACAGAAGATCTTCCATCTGGACTGGTAGACTAGAAGAGGAAGCCCTGATAGATCGCGCGATGCGATCTGACACCTCTCGAGAAAAGCCTGCCTTGGCGAGGCTTCCAGAGATAGCCTCCACGCGTGAAGGTGGAGGATCTCTGGTCGAGAGTGTGTCGTCCTGGACCGAGGCTGACGCAGGAGATTCGGTCTGGTGGGGAGAGCCAGTGGCTCCTCCACCAGAAACGACAAGAGCTCCGGAAACCAAGGCTGCCTCGGCCACAGGGGGGCTATCAGAAGTAAGGAGCAGTGATGCTCCCTGAACTTCTGAAGCACCCTGCCCACCAGGTTGAAGGGAGGGAATGCATAAGCATGCATCCCGTCCCAGTCCAGAGAAAGGGCGTCCACAGCCCAAGCCTTCGGATCTGGGACCGGAGAGACGAAGGTTGGCAGCTGATTGTTCAGAGAAGTGGCAAACAGATCTATCAAAGGTCTGTCCCACACCTGACAAATTCCCCGGAAGACCGAGGGACACAGCTGCCATTCCGTCAACACCGGTTGGCGGCGCCTGGAGAGGGTATCCGCCAACACGTTCAACCTGCCCGGAAGATGCTTGACCGTAATGGACAATTGCATCTCCTGACAGAGAAGAAGGATGCGGATGGAGAGGGCGCACAGGACATGAGACCTGGTGCCCCCTTGTCTCTCCAGATACGCGACAACTGTAGAGTTGTCGGTGGCCACACAAATCGCCTTGGACTGCAGGAATCCCCGAAAGGATTGCAGTGCCAAAAGAACTGCCCTCATCTCGAGCACGTTGATGTGCTCCGAGAGCTGATCCCCAGACCACTCCCCCGAGCGACAATGGCCGTCGAGGTAAGCTCCCCATCCTGTCATGGAAGCATCCGTGAACAGGGTCATAGAGGGGACAGGCTTGGTCAGAGGAACCCCGCGTAGAACATTCTCCCGAATGGTCCACCAGCGAGCGAACTCCCTGACCGACTGAGTGAGAGTTATCCAGGCCTCCCACTTCCTGGATGACGGAACCCAGTTGGACAGGAGGAACATCTGGAGAGGTCTGATGT